TTATATTTTTTCTTTCTTTTAAGAGAAGATTTTTCTGGCACTATATATCACAACACATCTTTACATTCAGTGTGTTCATGGAGCAGGATCCGTTCAGAGAACCATTTGTTTTTCTGTCTGGAGGAAGAGAAACTAAACGGGGCCAAACACACATACTGTATAATTAAAGAAGGGAAAAAGATTACAGAACATTTTGTCCCACTGGTTGACTAAAGTTTCCACATTTAATCATAACTTTAGTTGTTGTGTTGTTGTCAGTAATGAGATTTGAATCTTTTAGGGTACAAAAAATTGCCTAACTTCATGAGCGAGAGGGTGAAAATACAGGGAACTGTATACATCCTAAAAAACCTGCTGTTTTTCCAGTGTAGTGACTGTATAACTTATCACAGTGCACTTTGGCCTCATGGAAAATCAATCAAGAGAAGCTTCAATGACGCCTCAAGGACAATATTGTTAAAAATGTTAGCATTTCACTTCCACACAGGGTAAAAAGAGAATTAAGGGTTTTGGATTGCAGACCAAAGGTTACACAAAGCCCAGAATGTGATTAGAAGACTATTAAAGTGCTCAGCAGTCTGTCATTTGTGTTTTCTACTTATCTTGAAAAATGTAAAAATTGATTCAAGTAGAAGTTATTTTCTTCTGGTTACAAATTGTACTTCAATTTGTTGTGTCAGTCGATTGGTGAGGATTTAAACAAACCCAGCCAGAATTTGATGGATGGCCACTTGCAAGCGAGGCAGCACTAGCCAAGTCTGGGCCCTCCGATTATTCACGACCAGTACAAAGTCACTAAAAGTCTACGTTGATGCATGACAGTAACAGTGTCACCAATCAAAGCTGTCAAATCAACCAAAATACATCTATTTTCATAACATAAAATAACTTATTAAAAACAAGCCTACCAGAAAAATGACTACTTGTACACACATCAGTGTGATATTTACCAAAAGCTACAGAAATGATCTCAGTCGATGGTTTGCACACAAATGTTTAAAGAATAAAATGTGTGAACTTACTGTCCCGTTAGTGACAGAGCCAAGCTAACAGTCTAAAGAGGAGGCTGACTGACTGTTAGCAACCTCACTGACTCAGAGAGCTTAATTTTCTCTCTTCAAAGTCTTTTTCTTCAATTAAATGTTGGGCAGTGATAGGTGTAGTGTCTCTGTGATCAAATAGTACTGTATTGACCTGAGGCCCCTGATCAAGTCAGCTGTTAGTGGCAGTGTTGGTATTTGAATTTTTTGCTTTTGTGTCAAAGTAGCAAGGAATTTGGTATGCCAGCTGTCCTGGTGACAGTTTACATCAGTTCAAGCTATCATAACAGGTTCTAACATAAATTTTGTGTCCATTAGCCATGAAGACATCCATGTAGGCTCAACTATAAGTGGTACAGAAAGTGTTTCTACTGTGCACAGGAAATGAGCCTGTCTTAATACAATAAAATCCATTTGAAATTTTTAGAAAATCTCTTACAGTTTGCTGTTAAACATAATGTTTTTCAATGTGCTCAGCCATATTTAACAGAACACTGGCCTAGACTGGTAACAATGAAGTCATTCTGTGGTGATAAAAATGTATTTATTTTTTTGAGCAACACTCTAAAAGAAAGAAAGGTCTCAGCATTTGTTGAGGCCAATTTTTGGGGAACAGTGACAAATGCAGTGACTTCATTTCACTCCCCAAATTAGAGACACAACTCACGCAGGCAAATGATTGCCCTAATTGTAGTCATTTTCCCCCAGTTTGAAAAGGCCATCCATCTATGCTGTTTTATCAGCTCGGGATGTGCTCAGACTTTGGCTTCAGGAACGAGATGAGGTTGGAGAGGTGAGGAAGCAAGCAACCAGGTATGTTTTATTGATCAAGCACAAGATGGGAGAAAGCCCATGTACAGGAGAATGAATAATGCATTTGACGGGGAGAAAGAAAACCGATCTGCTGAAGAGGTGAGGTGGATCTGACTGGCAACAGAGGGATGAGAAGAGGCGCTGAGGTTTGGAGCTGTGCTGTAAACAGCCATCTAATTGAGTCAACAAAGCATCTTATGCTTGAGTTTGAATTGGTACACACACCCGTGAGAGGCTCACAACCTATTATATGTTATAAAGCTGGCCAACAGGCCGAAAGAAATGCAAAAAGTTGAAAAATCAGCAACGTTTTGTATCTTGTTATGGTTGTTTGGTGTCTGTTTGTTCTGCGTCTGTTTGTAGTAATCTTACTGTATGTCTCTTTGTGGTCAGTTTGGGAGTTTCTGTGGTTCTTTTGTGTTTCACTGGCATTTAGGAGGTAAAACTGAAAGAGCCTATAATCTATCTATGACTCTGATTTCTCCTTTTTATTTCTAAAGCTTATGTGTCTTAAAACCTAAATTTAGGCCAACAGTGCACTTTTCACCTTCACCATATTCTTTGTAAATCAGTTTCACTGTTCTTTGAAGATCACATCATCCAGTGGTACTAGGATCAGTGACAGCAACTACTGAGTCATTAAAGGCATTCAAATGTACATACTGTACCTTATAATATACTGTATATACACTACTGTACTATGAACAGCTTAGCCTCTCAGTCCATGTTTTTGTTCGTGCTGTGTGATGTCAGTGTCACGCTTTTTGAATTGTATTTCACTTGTATGAAAGGTGTTATATTTTGTTTTAGTTGAAGGGACGACCAAGTTGTGGGTCTGTTCTGTGTTTCAGTGGGAGTTTGTTCTTGCTTTCACTGATGAGCTGAGGTTGAGATTTGTCATTTTCATTTATTGTTTCATAATGCTAGCACAGCAGAGCCTTTTGGGACTGTGTTCAAGGGCCGTAACCATAAACTTGACTTATTTCTTAATAAGAAGGCCTGAAATGCTGCATGAAAACAAAGGTGTACAGGTCCATGCTGTAGGTTATATCTGACCCAACATCCAAAACCAGTATGTGAGAAGCCAATGCTGTTTGGCTTTTGTCAGTGAGCTGAGGAAATATTCTACAATCTGTCTTGGTACTACTGTGCATCTCAGTTACTGGGGGCATTTGTGAAGTAAATAAAAGCAAAAATAGAAGCTTATTAGATATTACTGAGCCAGGCTCAGAATATCCCTGTTTATAAAATCATGACCAACCGTTGTATCATCATTTTTGAGCCCAGTACTGAATTATTTGTTCAATGTACCATTCACACATCTTTGGTTGAATGGTGTCTTGGCTGGCTGGTTAAGTTTAACATGTTCTAGAAAAATGGAAGCAATTGTTGAAATATGCTGTGGATAAAATCTTATGATGACTCAATTTAACAGGAATATACTGCATAACAATATTCCAATGTGAGGGGGAATGCTGTGTCTGTCTGTATGTGAGTCATATGATAGACTGGTGACCTGTATTACCCTGCCTCTCATGCAGTGTATGCTGGGATAAGATTGAGATTAAGATACAGATGACCTTTCCAGAATCTTTAAAGACCCAGACTGCCATTTCCATCCAGATAGCCCCAAATGATATAATAAACACTGATCTTTTAAAACAGCAAAATATTGAATAAGGAGATATGTAACATTTCTGGTTACTATCTTTGTACAGATTTTAATCTGACAACAAATAGCAAATATTCTTTTGTGTAGATGGACAGAAGAATCTTTGAGGATTCTTGAAATACCTTAAGAACAGCCGTGTTATTAAATGACAAAGATCAACAGATAGCCTGTTTGTTATTCAGAAAAAATGATGCTTAGCTCTGACTTGAATGTAAATGTAATGCATTAAGGGAACAAAATGGGACTATTTGTAAGGTTAATAGCTCAGCTTTTGAAAAAGAGCCATCTGGTTCTGTGGCTTTCAGCAGTCTTCACTAACAACAATGCTTTCAGTTACCAGCAAGTAGTGGCATGGATGATTCATGAGTTCATTTTGAACATTTTGTTTGCTTGTTCGTATGTGTTATTTGTATTTTACTTCCATTTTAGTGTTTTTACTTTGATAATGCATCTGTTGGCACCGATGTGGTCCGGTGGCAGAGAGCTGGAGGGTAATTGTATGGTCAGCCCCATTTTGTGTGATGACCAAAGCTTAAATCAGTAACTGCCTTTTTTAACACAACTGTCTTTTTTTAGGGACAAGATAATTGTCACTTTTTGAAGCAAGATACTGTACAGAACATTTATGTTAAAAAAAAAAACATAAAATGAAATACCTGCTATAGCACCACTTGCTGAATGACTTGTTATTCCTTGGTTTGGGGGGAGAGGACTTGAAATGATTCCAAAGATTTGATTGCTGTGGGAGTTTTGCTTTCTGAGGTCCAGATAGTTTAAAAGCAGAAAAAAAAGAAACAAAGGAAGACAAATCCTAACAATTGTAAAAAGAGTTTCAGCACCTGCAGTGCTAGAACCTCAAACTGCATCTAACAACACCTGCAGTATTAAAGCATTGTTTTTCCATCTGTGGGGCTGTTTAATCAAAGTGTGTCTCTGGTGTACCCAGAGCCTGGATCATGCTCAGTGGCCCATAGTAGTAAGGAAAACATAAGGAATTTAAGGAGTTAGGAAGGAGCCAGAGGACACTTCAAAGACTGCAGATGGATCTTTGTCATTGGAGCTCTGAGTGGCGCTGGGAGGGAAATCGCCCCAGGCCAGTCTTGAGGAAGCTGCTACTTGTTCATTTAAATTCCTATTACAGAATCTTTTCATTGTAGTTGGTGCAATTCTCATGTCCCATTTAAATCCACTCAGCAAGACAGCCACATGTTCCATAGTGCATGAAGTCACAAAGCACTTTGTTCCATTAGATATACCTAATTGATGCCCGATTACTTAGGTGCTGCAAAATATTTTGATGACTCCAACATGTCTCAGCAGAGGGATTATATTAGCAATTTTACATGCTGGTTCCTGGCAACGATTCACCAGCCCTTCTGTTTGTCATGCAAGTTGTCAGGCGTACATTCAGCAGGCTTCCACATTACAACCCTTCAGTGTTTCCTGTTGAGGAATGACAAGAAGACGTGTGCCGTTTAGTCGAGCCAAAACATTTAATACACACCAGTGCAAGAGACATGCACTTGCAACACTTCACACAGTGCGCTTTCCCAACTGCAGCTCTCATTTTGAAAACACATACAAACCATAAAATAATTTAAAACAAAACACATATTAAAAAAATGGGGTTACACTTTGTTTTATACATGTTCATAATACTGCCTCATAAAATGTATCACAAATAATTAGCTGCTGACACAGAGCAAATCATAGAAACCAACTGAGATGTTACACTGACACTGTGCTTGTTGATAGTTAGCGGAAAAACTGTAAACCGGTGACATTTGAGAAGAAATGTCACAGAGAGGACAGGTTCTGGGAAGAAGAGTCTGTTGGGGAGGAAGCAGAGGAGAAGGGGAAGGAGGGTGGGTCTATATCTGTCCCTCTCTGGTGAGAAACAATCCAAGTGTACTGGAGGGCAGAGAGGTCGAACACTAGGCGTAGAAGGTTTCTACTTTCACTGCCTGACAGAACATTGCCATGGAGAATACCAGACCCAGGATCTGCACAAACACAAGAAACAAATCAGTCACTTTTCTGTCTGTTTGGCTCATCCTCCATATCATAAGGTGCACCTAAGGTGACAAGAAATATTTTTCATGATGTTAAATCTTATTACAACAGTAAATAGAGCACAGATTGGAGTCTGTGGATGCTGTACTTTTAATTGCTATATTGTTGGGGGGTTTTTTCACTCCAGCATCTCCAACAAACTAATATCTAGTAAACTGTGATTTGAGTATTTACTGAAAATACAAAACATCACCAAAATGCCTTTGTCTTGTGATCAGTCCTTTGTTATGCAAAATTTGTATTCAAAAGCCCTTAAAGATCATTCTTTCCATCAGGGTTTTACTAAAGGCAACTGAGTTGTGCACGAACGCAACATTTTCCACTAAAGTTGAAACAGTTTGTGATATTTTATAATTCCTGTGTTTTGGCCTGCCAAAATGCTTGAGAGCGCACAAATCAAACGCTGAGTGCTATTCAGTTTGCAAATGCAGGTCTGAGTGCGAGGGAGAACAGAGTCGTGAGCATAACAGACGATTTGAGCGAGCAGTCGGGTGCAATGATCAAAGTGCCTACTTTCCTATCCCTACTCCCTGTGTCGAATTGTATGTGAAAAAAAAATCTACTGGGGTCAGACGTAAAGCTTAATTTGTGCTAAATATAAGGAAACCATACATGTGGAGTACAGACAGTTTAGTGCTAAACAAAAGCAAAGGGAATGCAGAGAAAATGGCCAAAAATGAATCATCCTAAACCTGAACTCCAGAGATTAAACATAACAAACTATATTGTATATTCAGTAGGTGTTTCATGTTATTTCTTTGTTAAAAAAGTTACATAAATGTGCGTTACTTCTCTACCTTGTCTGCACATAAAGCATAATGGTATAATTCTTTGTATTGTATAAGGCTGGGAGTCAGCTGGCAAACATCACAGACACTGAAGCTGAGATATCCGAGCTATTTGAAATAGTCTGGCAGTGATTACATCTTCTTTCTGGTTTTCATTTTGGTGCATTTCCCAAAATGGCACTGAGAATCTAACTCATGACTAAATGAGCCTGCAGTATCACAAGGAGCCTCATCTGATTGATGTTTTCAAGAACACCGTATTTCTTTTCTGAGATTGTGGAAGCACATCTATACCACTTGACTGGAGACGAGATAAAAGAACTTCGAGCGAACCTGCGCGCCCCCCCCCCCCCCCCCTACACTATGTGGACATCACAGTTAATGCAAGGTTTTTTAATAGGCTCCTCCTGTCCATAGAAACCCCGTGTTCAGCACTTGATGAAAATGACTCTGGAAATATTAGCTTTATTTATCACAAAGTAAGAGCTTCTGTCTGTATATATCAAGGACTGTTGGGGAAAAAAATCACATAACCTAACAGCTATAATTACCTGCATAAGTGCTGTGCATAGAGCAAAGATCCAAAGTGCCACCAAGTTCTCATTAAGCCAGTCTTTCACCCGCTCATAGCATGGCTGTGGAGACACACAGAAGGAGCAAACATTAGTCTACAAATGTAAACCCATCGCCCAGAGGACCAGTAGTATATAGGATAGGATGGTGTACCATTTACAGGGGTGTCTTCTCCTCCTGTATTAAGAACCTATTTGGCTCAAACATCCCCTGCGGTAACACCCTTATCTCCCACACCTCCTCCTTGTCTGACCTAATAATCCTTGGGAAAACTTTCCACAATTCAAGTGTGTCCCCACTGCCCTTGTATCCCTTCAGCTGTACAAACATGAGTGTTGCGCTTATGGGGGCAGCACACACACTGGAGACATGGGAATGGGCTGAATTTTTCATGTCTGACATTGTTTAAATACATTCTGACTTCACCAAAACAGAAAAGAAAAGAAAAAGCTTCCTAACATCCTCACTACTTCTCCATTTTTGTCACTAAGACATTTTCACCAAACAGACATAATTTCAATATTTCTTTTGAAACTCAGGTAGAAAGAAAAGAGGAATGACTATTAATAGAAGGACTGGGACATTGCCCCTCTGGTTCAGGGATGTAAGCAAGTAATGAAAAGGAAATGAATAATCTAAGAGCAGTTGAAAGATGACATTAAAAGTGATGGGAGTGACATTTACTATGATGGCTACACGGCACATGGCTCCTATTAGAGATACGTGTGCTAATCTGTGATCACCTGGTTTACTGTAGTAAAGGAAAAGGCGCTATCATGACCAGCTACACTGCTGTTCTGATTAAATTATTCATTTCCGCAGACATGACTTCCCAATTATGCTTTTTTTCTTTTAAAAACAAGCAGAGTCAGAGCCAGGAAAACTAAACATTGCTGAAACTGTCAGGGAACCCAAAAATATATTTTCCTTTGCACAAAGTGAACTAATTCTGGGCTGGATCAATATGGAAGGTGGAAAGTACCGGTAAGCCAAATTTAGGATAGTTTCAGTATTATTTAACAGTTACTCAGCTGTAACCCACAGAGCTTCATTTGAAAATATATAAATTCAGATTTGTATTGTTTAACATCCATTGCAGACTCCTATGAACCAGGAGAAAAACACTGATACAGTAAGTAAAGTCTGTTAAACCCTTCCTTACACAGGGATTACAGTACATTCATGGTGCTACAAAGCAAGCCCTTCCACATGAACAGGTCTGTGTAACACAGTATCTTAAGCTCAAAGCGGCTATACTTGATCTTTTCATGGTGACACTGTGAAAACAGAAACGATGTAAAACGGTTGCTCGTAGTGATGAGCCTACAGGTTTATCTGAAGACTCTGCAGGTTCCTTAAGCTTTCCAGAGCTTTATCATATGTTCCAGCTCATTGATTAGCTATCAGACCCACAACATTACTCTGTTGTCCATCACTCTAATGGCATTATGTTCGACTGAAGCAGGCAGCTGTGTGAGGCAAATCTAAAAGCCCATTTCACAAAATAAACATAGATTGTTTTAGGCATTTGAACAGCCAGTGCCATCGTCTTTCTGGTGATGATGGTTACAATGTTTCAATCCACAGCTCACGTAGTGGAAACCAGCTACACACACGAACAAGCACGCATGGTTTTCAAACACTCACAGACTTCCAAGCTGCGAGTGCAGCTGTGTATGTATGTATCATCAAGCTCATATTTGAGTGTCCTTTTGAGTTTCTTTCTGTTTGTTATCAATGAGAGTGTGAAAATATGTTTTTTTTTTGGAAAATATTCTTATGTTATGGCACCCAATACTAGGAGAGAGAGATTTTCTGTATGTCCTGCACATATGGTGAATTGACAATAAAATCCTTGAACCTTGAACCTTAAATGGTTCACAAATACACTGTACCTCTATTATTACTAAATGATTTATTGAAAAATTATGTGGAGTATCTGTAAGATTTGTTCTTGGAAATAGAAACACTCTCATATCAGTTTTGAGATACTTCAACAACATAAACCCATCAGTAGCCTTGTATGCAATTGAAATGAAGTCCACAATACATATTTAAAATTCAGGTATTAATGAAAAGGAGAATACTTCTGCTTCAGTGTGAAACCCATCGACTGATTCCTTGCTCTGCAGAGCAAAAATTAATCAAAATTCAAAACTACCCAGATTAATTTAACATCACATTTTCATTCAAACTAGAAGGGCTAAAGGAATTTAGAGGTCTGTATGAGGGCCAACAAGATGTCACCTGGAGGAGTTATGATAAGCATAATTCTGAAAAAGCTTTCAGTGGTTTGTGCAGAACCATGTTTCAGGAAAATAAATGGGAAGACATTTTTAAAGGCCATGCCTTTCACTCTTAAAACTGAAAACAGCTATAGTTTTCCTCTGCTGTATGGACAAATTAAAATGAGTTAGGATTGGGACTTAAGAGATGATGGGCTGTCTTCCCTCCAGTCTACATCTGTGAACATGATGGCATCATAATTAAGATCTGGCCTTTGCACGGGGAAAGTAAGGTTTATTTTTTATGATTTACTTTATTTACTAAAATGACGAATGCGTTTATTGTCAAGCATGCTGTCACCAAAAAAGTCAGGATACAAAATGTTTAATCATAACTATGCAAAAATAAATAAATAAAGATAGAACAATGTCTTTCTGAGTATTATATTGATTGTATGAAGATAATTTCCCCATAATGTCCATTTAGTTGATGATCTGGAGCTTTTGATCATGTCACCTGGCCTTGATCAGCAAATGGAGTTTGTCCAGTTGTCATGGAACTGGAGATGTTTACATTTCTATGCTTAAAATTTTTCATATGCTTAATACAAACATGGAAAATCTATTTGAACTGCAGCTGATGAAGATCGTGATATGAGCAAAAGCTCCAGAACAAGGCTGGAACAAGCTAGGAACATTTAAAAGCAGATTAATGACACACTTGATCTGGAGCTTGACAAACCACGACTGTTTCTACAGGTAACAGCTGGCACATCTGATGTGATTTCTGAGGCCACACAAAAATCACTATCCTCATTACTGTTCATCACCTTTACTCATCGTGATTTCCAACTGGTGCTTTTGCACTGCTGGACGACAGTAGATTACTCAGTGTGTTAAATAGACCAAACATTCTTTGTCCTTACTGACGACAATGAGTTGATTTTGAAACCCATTTTTTATTTTATCATTCCTGTTATTGCATCATTTTGTGACACCTTTTTTTTTTTATCTTTCATGTCGATGCATCCAAATAATGTCACAATAATCCATTTTTGCAATTGGCAGAGCCGAGCAGCAGCTGTTGTGTATGCCTGCTGGGGTTGTAGTTTTCATATTTTGTGTTGTTTTATAGTGAACTGAATAAGTCATCGGAGAATTTAAATATTTAACAAGCAAACATTATGTTTCTTGCTTCAATAGTTTTAGTACTTTTAAAGTAACCCTAGCTGAAAGTATGTTTTATTTACATCCTGGTGCACGATGAGTTTGTTGGTCTCTGAAATCTACTGCTGCAAGGAGAAAAATATTTAGTTAAAGCCTGCAGCTTTACTGTTTTGGTTCACTCTCGACACTCGTCAGCCTTTATGTTTGATTAACCCACTGCACCCTGCTCAGCACCAAACAGCATATGGACAAAGTTTCTGACTAGCTGCTGATTTAGCAGCTTAAGATCCAGAACATGGTTAAATACTGGATTTACATTCATCAGTAGATTCGTATGAATGCTATTGTCACACTGTATGCTTGATGTAGAGCAAAGGCTTGCTTCATATAAACAAATGTCAAGTGGCAAAAAGATCTATTAACGCAGATTTCAGCTCTTTGCTTCTTGCTGTGACTGTGATTAAGGTGCTTCATGCTGCACCACTAGGCACTATACACACACATACATCTTTTTACAGCTTAGTTTTCCTTCTGAAATGCTTAAATAAGAAGTGCTAAATTGAATTTGCATCTAATTTATTGCTCTCAACACATCAAATATTCTGGCCTTTCTGGGCCATAAATAAAAAAGGACAGGACCTAAAGCTGAACCTTGAGGATCCCACATGAAACAGTGGATTGAGAATGAGAATGAATTTCCAGCAAAGACTGAAACCTTTTCAATAAATCTGATGAAAACCAGTCAAAGGCTGAGTCAAAGACACCTACCTGGGCTTTCAGTGTAAGAATAGTCTGCTGTGGTCTGTTGTGTCAAAGGCTGAGATAAAAGCTAGAAGAAGGCACAGCTGGATACATCAGCTGCCAAGTTGAGATCATTAGTCAAGACAACTAGGTCTCTGAAGCCAGACTGGAATGTTTTCTCTGGGACTGACTTGATTGTTCAGGACTAAGATTTTTAAAGTAGGGGCTTGACTACTGTACTGTAAGAAAATGGTCCGTTGCCAGTTTTCTATCTCTAGCTTCATTTGATGACTAAAACATTGCTGGGATAAATTGTGTTAATGATAAATTTATTTTTAAAAAGTGCCAAGAAAATAGGTAGGTGCTTTCATGTGGAACACAATTTGCATCAGCTCTGAAATGATGCTGTAATAAAGTATTCAGTGCAGTTAAGTTTGTCAGGGTGATGCACAGGTCACAAGTGGGTGGAGTAATTTCAGTTCTGATAGAATGTGTAATTAATACCAGATGTCCCTACATGTATTATTTCAACACACTCAAATGCCTCTCCAGCAGCAACTTCAGGTCTTTTTGTGCAGATTAATATATTTGCATGCAGTCCTAGCATATTCTGATGCATATTCACAGACAAAAAAAATCTATATCTTGTATTTTTCTTTTGTGACAGATGCAATGATTTCCACACCCTGTTCAGCTTCATTTAATCGTAATTGTTATGTTTACACTCACAAACATACAGCACCTTTCAGGAAGCTGATTTTCATGTGCCTTCTCACCTGGTCTGGCAGCAGGAAAAAAACATGAGCTGTTTTTACCTCGTCATGATGCAAAGTCTGTGGCCTATTTATGACCCCTGAGATTTGCAGGCTTGAGGTGCACCACAGGTGTGAGGTTTCAGAACTGTAGTGTTTTGAGTTTTAAAATTTTTTAAGGTGTTTCATGGCGCAGAACCTGCCTGTCAATCTGTGGTAAAGTTGTGTTCTTATATCACAATCAAAAAAGGAAAACAACAGGGCTGTGTTTGACACCACTCACTATTTGCTTTATAGTGTGCCTGTGTCCAAATGCTGAGTTTGTAAATCTATTCTCTATACAGTGCACTCAGAAAAATCCCACCAAAGAATAGAAAAAGACACTGTACATGGCATGTACAGCATACGTTAGAGTACTTTCTGCTAACTACAACAATGAAAAAAAGCAGTGGAGCAGCTTTATGTCTCTACAGTTAGCGATGATGCAAAATGAGGACAATTAGTAAGTCTCAATTTACAGCTCACTATTGAATGTACATTTTGTAGAGAGCAGTGAAAGAGTGAATGAGGGAGTGATTTTGGACACACTGCAACTATTTGTACAGTACAGCTGTTACAGAGACAAAATATAACACTGGTTACTCATTAGAAGAACATTAGTAGCCCCAGCAGTCAAGTCCTTCTGTATAGAAATGATTAAATCAATATCAATAACGATGGATATAAATCTCTCACTATGTCCTGTTGTTTGCTTCCTGGGATCTTGAGCTGTGCAGGTAAGATAAAAAATAAAACACCCACACTTTTGTGTATTTAGCTATGGAAAAGCTAAAAAAGTACTCCACCTCCCGGACCAAATATGACTCTATTATTACAGCCCTATACACATCACATCAACATGTAGAGAAAGGAAGGCTTGGCATGTGTAGTTGCTAATTAGTTGGTAAACTGTGATTGGACGGTCACTATTCAGGATGGGGTTTAGTGAGTAGGTCAAGTTATTATCCTGTATGAATGCAAAACTGTAAAAAATAAGAGTGAATTAAAATGATGAAGAAAAGAAACATCATTAGCACGTTTTGAGATACTTTATCTTCGTCTAGAGGTACTTACCGCTGTCCACCATGTTCCTGGATTATCCAGGCCGCAGTTGTCACTGTACTCCAGGCAGCAGGAGTCCGGGACACGGGTGGCATTGTAAACTTCAAACCAGTCTGTGTGGTTGGTTACTCCACAGCAGCGAAACTGCACCAGAGAAAGACAGTAAGTCAATAGAGCCTGGCCTTTTTATTGTCATCATACTAAAATCCTAATGAATGATAAGAAATAAGCATCTTCCACTAAAGAAACTAAACTTATTTACCTGCCAGAAAAACTCATTGAATAAAACCCTTCATCTACCTGATACCAAGCAGCAGCCCTTTTTGTAGGATGCACATCTCATTGATCTCAAAGCCCTAAAAATCATTTTTTTTACTTGGCTGCCTCTTTTTATCTTCATCTTACTCCTTTGTGATTGGTATAGATTTTTGATAAAAGATCATGGCTTTCAACACAGTTCAATTCATCAGTGTGTTCTATGAAAAGATAATGTTCTTTCACTGGACTTAAATTCCACACAGGAATAATGCTGCTCCACGCCCCAGTCTGTGCACAGAATTGGGAATTGTATGTTAATTTAAAACTCGCTCACCTGTTTGAACCATGGTTTGCAATTGATCATGAAGTATAGCAGATTTCAAATGACTTAGAAGGCATTCAGTCTTCAAATGTTATCATGTCAAACATTCTTAGACCATCATTTGGCACATCGAGGATGTTTGTACTGCCTCCTCTCATGTATGTAGATCCTCTTCGGAGCCTATTATGAGGAGGATCCATCCTAATTCATAAGTGTCCATTAATAATATTCAGGGTGAAGTTAGGGGACATCTGCTGCATTATCTATTCAGTGACTCAGCATGTGTGAAGGAGGATCGGGAGGGAGAACAGTGACAGATTGAGAGCTGCCTTTTAATGGTCTTCACCTCAGCCAGAATCAGATTTTATGGAGCCCTATACATTCATGCTTATCTGACAAGGAGAAAGGTGCACCTTCATATTTGTGCACAGAAGTGTTCAAATAGCGGCTCATTCAAACAGGTTTGCCTTACGCTATCTTCCTGTATGTCGTTAAAAAAAGCTCCCCACATTACCACCCACACATGTAGACACGCACACATTTGCATATATTATCTGCATGCCAATAGATTTCTTTCTGTTTTATGCATTTTCAATCTCACACACACAGGGACACACAGTATGCCTTCCAGACACTAAAGATGCATGCACACGGATGTCGAGTGGACTCGAACACCAGGAGTGTTCTGCACATTTGGTGATGGAATGAAACTACACACATGAGATCTGTGATGTGAAAAAGGTCCAAAATGCCCTGATGTCTCTGATCTATTATTTGATGTCTCCCAAAAGCATTCACCAGCAGCATCCATCCTCTGCAATCTTTAATTCTGAATGTCTCATTCTCACATTGT